TGTATTATTGAGTTGATTAATCATCAACACAATCCATTTGAAATATTTCTACACAGTGTCTCTTGAAATGAAGAACTAATTTTAATGTCCAATTTACCAAATTTTCTTTCATTACTCATGCTTTTTCTGGTATCATATCTAAGAATTCTACACATAGTTTAAACTTACAAAGTCTTTATCCTATGTTTTATCCTCTTAAAGATAATTTTAGCTCTTACATTTTTGTCTAGGTTACATTAAAAAAAAAAAAAAGGCAAGCCCACTGACAGGGAGAACTTATTTGCAAATCATTTATCCAATAGTAGACTGATATTCAGAGTATATAGTGAAATCTTAGAAATAAAAAAATAAGACACACTTAGAAATGACAAAATATTTGAATAGATATTTCTCCAAAGAAGATGTGTAAGTATACAGAAATATATTCAGCACAGTTCATTGTTAGGAAATACAAATTAAATCTACAATGAGACATCACTACACACTAAAATGTAGAAACAGATGTCAGAAGAGAGTGAAGAAAGAGTAGAAATATATTTTATTCAACTAGGTCAAGTTTCCTACCATTTCAGTTTTGGTGCCAAACTTAAGGAGAATGCCATTTTAAAGAGAGCTTTATGGATTCAGAATTGTGGGGAAGGTCCAGAGACGGACTATTATCTAAAGAAAGGTATCTGAATTTTCAGTATGACCCCATCAACCTTCAGGTGAGCACAGAGCTAGAATGAACAAAACAACCTTGACCTCATTCATCACAGGGCTTCTAAGGCTAAAAGGAAAAGTGATCACCATGCAAATTGTACACGGACCCATGAATCCTTACAAGCATGTGCACTGCATTGAAAGAGAAGTTCAGGAAGCCATAGGGGCACATAAACAATGCATCCTGATGCGAGAATGTGGAAAGCATTTCCCTGCTACAACAACCTTGGAGGGAGACATCATACTTTATTATCTGATAACCATTGTATGAGGTTTTCTATGTGTTTGTGTTTACTTGTCAAAAGGCTTATAATGGTGGAGGCAGGAGTTCAAACTGGAATTATCTCACCCTTGACTCTATGCCAGGAGACCACCATTCCCGTCTCACAAGTGTTGGACAGTACCTCTGCTACTGAGCACTTTTTTTTTTTTTATTGAAGTATAGCTGATGGACAATAGTAAATAAGTTGTTCTTGCTTCAGTCTCTCAGCCATACCAACTCTTTTTTTTTTTTTTATACCAACTCTTTTGTGACCCCATGGACTGTAGCCCACCAGGTTTCTCTCTCTCTATCCTTGGGATTTCCCAGATAAGAATACTGGAGGGGACTTTCATTTACTTCTCTATGGGATCTTCCTCATCCAGGGATTGAACCTGTATCATCTCCTATGTCTCCTGCATTGCAGACAGATTTTTACCGTTGAACCAACACCAGAGAAGCCCCATTATATAAATTACAGGTGTGCAACAGTGCTTCATAATTTTTAAAGATTATACTCCATTTATGGTTATTATATAATACTGGCTATATTCCCCATGTAGTACAAAATATCTTTGTAGCTTATTTTATACATAGTAGTTTTATCTCTTAATCCCCCATCATTATTGTGCCCCTCTTTTCCCTCTCCCCACTGGTGACCACTAGTTTGTTCTCTATATCTCTGAGTCTGCTTCTTTTCTGTTATATTCACTAGTTTGTTGTGTTACTGAGATCCCACATATAAGAGATATAATTTAGTATCTGTCTTTCTCTGATTTATTTCACCGAGCATAATATCCATGTTGCTGCAAATGGCAAATTTTCATTTTTTTATGGATGAGTAGTATTCTATTGTATGTCTGTGAATATATATATACATATATATATATATATATAATGTATATATACATACAAACACACATCACATCTCCTTTATCCATTCATCTGCCGTTGGACACAAGGTTATTTCCATATCTTGGCAATTGTAAATAATGCTGTTATGAAGTGTGGGGTTCATGTATTTTTTTTGAATATTGGTTTTTGGTTTTCTTCAGGTATATACTCAGGAGTGGAACTGCTAGATCATATGGTAGCTATATTTTTAGTTTTTTTAAGGAAACTTTATACTGTTTTCTGTAGTGCCTGTTGCAATTTACATTCCCACCAACAGTGTGGGAGGGTTCCCTTTTCTCCATATCCTCACCAACATTTGTTATTTGCATACCTCATTGTGTGTGTGTGTGTGTGTGTGTGTTTTAATCTGCGTTTCCCTGATGTTTAGCGATGCTGAGCACCTTTTCATGTGCTGCTATTGAGTATTTTTAAACTGATATATACAGGTATAAATCTTAACACCTATGCAATTTCTTTTATATTACTCCCACTTAGATGTGGGGTCTAGGCCCTTTCTTGTAACTAGAGTTGATACAGGGTGACGAGGGCTTATTTATCACAGACAGATGTCCTGGAAATAGCACTGGGTAATGTCCACAGTTAAGCCTGAAAAAGCCATAAGCCACTCAGGTCAATCTCCTGTTGGAGCCCTCCACCACTAAGAATGAGCTCTGCAGTCCTGCCTGCTGGGATGAAGCCCAGGCCTCCTGAGGAGGCTTCCTGAAGCTCCTCCAGCAAACCCAGCTTCAGCTGCAGACGTGGCAGTGACGTCACCTCCACAGGAGTCCAGCTTCTAGTGTTAGTGTCAGCCCCAACCTGTGGGTCTCCTCTCCTGAGACCCCAGCATCCTAGCGCAGAAAGAACCATCCCCACTGTGACCTGTCTGAATTCCTCACCTTGGGACCATAAGCAAAATGTGTGGTGTCACATGCCATGAATTTGGGGGTTTTTATAAAAATATTTTATAATAAAAGCAACTAGAAAACCACACTTGTGGAAAATTCACAGGTGTAACCCATGACTAGCTGAAGTACAATATTACAGAACACCAACTAAAATCGGTTTCCTTCCTTCCCTATTCTGTGGCCTTCTAGATGCCATCTCTGGAAGTAACAATGCTTATTCCTTCCAGATTTATTGATGGAATGATCAGATAGCACTGATGCTCTGAGAAACATTTTACTAAGAGCTTTACCTACATTTACTCATTTATTCTTTGTTCTCAGGTTGTAGCTGGAAGGGGAGTCCTCTGCTTCGTTCTGATTTCCTTCCAAAACTGGGTGTCTGAACTGCTGTGCTTTACCCCCTTTTGAATGGCATTACTCCAAAGCCTTTTGAAATACATTCCCTGGGGACATGCCTGGCTGTCTAGTGATTAGGATTTTGCCTCTCAAAGTAGGGGACGCGGGTGGTTTCAGGTTCAATCCCTAGTTGGGAGCTAAGATCCCCCTTGCCTGGAAGCCAAGAACTAAACATAAAGAAAAAGTGAAGCAATATTGTAACAAATTCAATGCATTAAAAAAAAATTTGTTAAAAAAAGCAATACATTCACTAATTCTCTTTTTATGTTATTCCTCAATTTCCTTATTTATACATAGGCACACACATTTTCCATCAAGCTGGAAGCACTAAAATTGTTCATTTAGAGTAATGTAAATTACCTATTATTTTCCACTCTTGGTCGTATATCAGTTTTTGTCTTACTTCATCAAGGCCCCACTTAATCTGTTAGTTCAGATACTTGGAGGTGAGCTGAGTCAGGAATGAAGGGTTTCCCTGCTGACTCACACAGTAAAGAATCTGCTCGCAGTGCAGGAGACACAGGTTCAATCCCTGGGTTGGGAAGATACCCTGGAGAAGGGAATAGCTACCCCCTCCAGTATTCTTGCCTAAAGAATCCCATGGACAGAAGAGACTAGCTGGCTATGGTCCATGGAGATGCAGAGTCAGACATGACTGAGTGACTCACACTTTTTTTTTTTTTCCAGCAATGATAAAGATTTGTATATGACCTGGGCTTCCCAGATGGCTCAGTGGTAAAGAATCTGCCTGCCAATGCAGGAGATACAGGAGACAAGTGTTCCATCCAGGTTGGGAAAATCCCATGGAAAGGAAATGGCAACCCACTCCAGTATTCTTGCCTTGAAAATGCCATGGACAGAGGAGCCTGGAAAACCACAGTCCATGGGAACGAGTCAGATACAACTGAACACACAGGCACACACATACCATATCTTGTAAGGGTACCTACTTTGTTTTAATAGGGCAGCTTTTCATCTTTCTCCTGAAGTTTTCATTTCTATGTTTTTGGTGGCTGGTCACTTATCATCCTATAGCCAGTGTTCATGAGCATGAGAATGGGGTGTGTGATTAGGTATTGAATTATGATCCAGAACATACATTTAATCCTGGAGATTCAGGTTGTTTAAAATTATTCATTTAGAAAAGCAATCACTACATTTTCACCCAACCTACAGGTGAAAACACAGTGATTTTTGTTACTTGTGCAGTGAGTAGCCAGGATTAACACACAATAGCAGATAATTTGTTAAATAAATTGGCAGAGATTGAGAGATAAGTAAGTTTGTATATTTAGGTGCATAAAGAGAAAAAAGGAAGTGATCATATAGAGAATAAGAGAAGGATTTACATAATTTGATCAGTATATGCTTAGAGAGAGAATATGACAATTTGCAACTGAATTTCGATTGATGCTGCTTTATATTTCAACTGGAACATATTTTAAATTATTTGATTAGAAATGTCTGGTGACTTAGAAATATTAGAAATGACAGGAGATGATATACATATATGGAGTAGCATTCATTTTATTCTCAACATGTTAGCCTTGTCCTTCTTCACCCTGAGATGTTCACAAACAACTATATTTGGGGAGGAGGGAGTTTTATCTCATATAAATTGTTTTCTTAAGCAGAGAAGAATATGTGAGGCTGGGATTCAGTTTCTGAAATAAAATGTTTACTCTGAAAAGCCCAGTTTACCCATGGAAACACACTTTCTGGATGGTAGCAGTTGGGCTCATCCTGTGCAGAGTGCAGTTCACTCTGAAAGTTCTGTGATGAATCATCACCATGGTAATGTGGTAATGCACATTCTGGATTCTGTACCAAGAGATGTTTGTGAGCTGAGAGCTTCACATATGGTGGCAAGTGAGAAGGACTCAACCTTGAGAGTTAGGAAATGGGCAATCTGGACTGTTGCCCTGGAGGTAGGTTCCTACTGATCCTCTGAAGTCCATTTCTTCAAATGGCCTGGTTAATTTTTACTGAAGTATTTTCCTCATCCTTTTCATTTCCATCACTCTAGTTTACCTAAAGCATTATAAATGTATTTTTTTCTAGTTTTGTTTGATTCCTTAATTTATATTTTTGATTCTTCTGTCAGCTGGTTGCATTAAATGTCTTTATAAATTTAGGAAAATGTACAATTTTCTAGTGCCAGTTTTGTACACACTCTACCAGAGAACAGGTGGAAAAACCTGAAGCAGGAGAACCATGAGGTCTCCCCAACAATGGACATTACAGGAAAAAGGGATTACAGCTCAACTCTTCTGGATGTAGCTTCCCAAATCTACAAGTACTAGAAGTGTAAATCAAGAGACCTTTAAAAAGGAAAGATACTGGGAATTACTGGTGGGATTCCCATGGGTGGATGTGGGCAGGATCACTGACTGTTGCCAGGGAGGTTGGTGAGACGGGGCAGTGCTATTGGGTTAGTAGGATGAACATTTGGCCACTAAGGGAAGGAGGGTCTGTCTGTTGATTCTCAAGGAGAATCTTGGGTTGTGGTCTCCAGGCTGTGAGTATGGAGATGACATTCAAAAAGAATACGGCGCTCTATTGTCTTCACTACAGGGTCTAGTAGTATGATGGGGTCTAGAGCATGATGAGGAGTTGACAGAGGCAGAATTTTAGTGAGGAAGGACTCGAGCCTCCTGCCCATTCTTAGCTAGCACTTGGTCCAGGCTGCTCAAATCAGTGCTCATATCAGCCATGAGACTTTGAGAATCACAGACTTAATTAAGCCACCAAAACCCAGCACGATGGCCACCTCCCCAGTTAACACACATTAACTCCTCATTCAGACTAGGTCAGTGGCTACTGCTGCTAAGTCGCTTCAGTCATGTCCAACTCTGTGCGACCCCATAGATGGCAGCCCACCAGGCTCCCCTGTCTCCGAGAGTCTCCAGGCAAGAACTCTGGAGTGGGTTGCCATTTCCCTCCCCAAGAGAAGCTAATTCTTGGTAGAGCCACCATGTGACCTTTGGTTTAGAAGGCTCTGAGACAAATTGACAGCCAAACAGACCACTGGCCACTCAGCAAGGTGACCTGGGCATTAAAAAGGCTGTTGTGACACAGTTGACTGTGTGAAGAGTCTGTGGAGGATGGACAGAGTTGGAATCCTGGGTCTTTCTGAGGGGCTTTGCTCAGAAGAAGCTTGTATTTTGGATCAGGAATTGAAATATAGAGACAAATGGTGGAAGGATGATTTGAGCTCTGTTTCAGGCAGAGGCATCTTCTCAAGGGCATCAGCTCTCATCCACAGAAAATTAGGTGCAGGAGAATTTGAGAGATGGGGATGTTCGTCATTGTGTGACTCTTGGAAAGTCACTTGATCTCTCTAAATTTCAACACCCTCCAATGTAACATATGGCTTACAGCCCCTACTTTGTTCCCCCTTTCNTAAATTTCAACTCACTTCATTGTAACATGGGTTACAGCCCCCACTTCATCCTCCCTTCCTCCCCAACAGGACTGGGTGTCAGAGGAGGTGTTAACAGATACTCTTTATGAACTGTAAAGCCTTGTTACTGTGCAAAAGCTGGACTAAGTTTCCATCCCCACTCACTTGGATCCATCAAAATGCCTTCTTTCAACCACTACTAAAGGTCCACATTATGCTTACCATCTATCAAAATTGAACACTTACACAGTGCTTGTGAAGCTTTTCTATTTATTTGGCTGCATCGAGTCTTAGCTGTGGTGCATGGGATCTTCATGGCATCCTGCAGATCTTTTATTGTAGTGCACTGACTCCCTAGTTTGTAGCATTTGAGCTCAATAGTTGCAACGTGTTTTCTAAGTTGCTTCCATGCATGCAGAGTCTTATTTTCCTGATCAGAAATCAAACACCCGTCCCCTGCATTGCAAGGCAGATTCTTAACCACTGGACTGCCCGGGAAGTGCCCCCTTTATTTTTCTAATATTTTACCTGTACTTAATCATTATTGGCCTCATAATACTAAAAATAGGCCATATTAACATTTCTTCAACTCAGCACAGGGAACTGAGGCAAAGAGGGATCCATATGTCTTTCCCAAGTACCTGCTTCTCCTGAACAGGACCTGAATCCCGTCCATCAGGCATGGTCACCATGCTCTGCTGAACTTCTAGGTCTCAGTTAAACAGAGATGTTTGCCTGCACAGCCAATCTGTGGGTGTTTTCAGTGTACATCAAACTGCAGATCTTCCTAAGTCCACCTTGGATTCAGGAGGCCCTGCTAGGCTTCTGGTGAGGAAGGGGAACAGAGGATTGAATTGTGGATCAATGATGATCAGTTTCCATGTGTTCTTCTGCCAGTAAGATGTCAACAGCTCTCTCCTTTATAATGCATTTCTCAGGACGCTTTGTCAAGAAGACCAGAAGAGACATTCCTCAGAATTCAAGACCATCAAGCACCAGCTTGGTCAAGACGGTTCCTGTTTGGCCACAAAATAGGGTGCACCCTATAACTGACCCAGTCGAAGGTACTGTGGAACTTTTCTCATTAAGTTCACTCAAGAATAATTATTGTAGTATGTTCAGTGCCTCATATTTAAGAAAACAACTGAAATATTAAGCAGTGTTCTTCTGGTGTTTTATGCATTCTAACTGAAACGTATTACATTGGTTGGTACTCTTTTAGCTATGGAAGGAAAGATGCAATGTAAAATTCAGCATTTAATTCATGTTTAAGAGTAAAGATAGTCTCTAGCTTTGGTTTGGACTATTGCTAATGTTTTAACATTAGCTGGGATATGTTCCTCCCTGAATCCATATTTCAAGATTCTTTAAGTTATTAGACTTTATTTAGAACAGGATTTCATTGATGTAAAAGTTGTACAGATGATACAGAAAATTCTTGCATCCTATCACTTCAGTTTCAGCTATCATGTTACTCACAGGTAATATATATGTGGTACATTTATTGCAGTTACTTTCCAGACCAGGGATCGAACCCATATCTCCTACATTGGCAGGTAGGTTCATAACCACTGAGCCACCAGGGAAGCCCTACAGGATTCTTTTGAACAAAACTGTATTTCATAATCCCCCTTATTGGGTCAATCACACCTTCATTTAGTCATAAATCTCACTTCTTAGTAGGACATAGTATTTTTATTGCTCATGATTCATCACTCTGCCACTTTCCTCATTCAAACGTTTTCCCTATTAGATCCTCAGAATGAATCCCTCCCCCCTCACCCAAGGCACCTAGTACTAGAGAGGCTCCTTCATTCTGCAGGGAGGCTCTGGTGGTACCCACAAGCAACATCCAGTTCTGAAGGAATCTGAGAAAGGACTTCAGTTCAGTTGCTCAAATGTGTCAGACTCTTTGCGACCCATGGACCACAGCACGCCAGGCC